GTCTCAAGGAAAGTGATCGCAGGGGGACAAAAGAAGCGATACAAAGACACGCTGAAAGCCTCTCTCAAGTCCTTGGTTATTGACACCACCTCCTGCAAGACCCTGGCACAAGACCGATCGACATGGCGCACGCTGATCCACCAAGGCTGCCAAACTTCTGAAGCCAGAAGGACAACCGTAGCACAAGAGAAGAGAGCACTCTGTAGAGCCAGAGTTGCAAATGTTGCAACAGTGGTGCCCACACATGTCTGCCTGACATGTGGCAGAACACTCCGTGCCCGTATCGGCCTTACCAGCCACCTGCGGACACACCATGGACAACTCTCAACCTGTTAGATGTCAAGGTCCACATCGAAACGATGGATGAACATCAACATGTCTCCATGTAAAGACCAAGCTTCCTCTTCAAATCAGTATTTTGGATGCCTGAATCCAGGTTCTTTGAAAGATTGATTTCTCCCCTGGTTGTCTACCCAAATCTCAAGGTCTCCTTCCAAGGCCATACTTCCGTCTTGCCTTCAAATGATGGCGGGATGGGTGGAAACTGGGGAGAAGGCCTTCTGGATGGCAGCTTTGGAATACTTCCTGAGAAACTCTCACCTGGTTATACCTTTGTGGTCATTTTCATGTCTAGGGATGTATGTCAATTTCATCTAGTCACCAACCGTGCCAGCAATCCTGAATGCAAGCTTTTCCAAATTCCTGAATTTGTTATTGTGTTTAAAAATGCAGTTTTCTTGTCTGAATAAGCTAAAAAAGATATCGAAAGGCATGAACCAAAATGAGCTTAGAGATTATTTTCAGAGAATTGAAGTGAGCCTGGGAATCACTGGTTTTTCCCTCCCTGGTCGATCCCATTTATTCACCTGGGCCTTTTAAACAACTCTTGTTTTTACAATCTGATTAATATTTCATATTTGATTAGGTACAATAGGTATCCGCATGATGAACTATTTTATTTCTTACCAAACCAGAAAGAACTATTTAATGCTGCTTTTATTTTACATTTATATCCCTCCTTTCTTCCTGTTTAAGGAAATCAAGGCATCTTGCATCATCCTCTTCCAACCCATTTAATCCTCAAAACACCAACCCTGCAAGGTAGGTTAGGCTGAGAGGTCTTAACTGGCCCACAGTCACTCCGTGAGCTCCACAGCTGAGCAGGGACTAGATCCTGGACCTCCCAGATCCATCTCCAGCACTCTCACCACTAGGCCAGCTCTCTATGATCTCACTGAAATCATGAAATCATGCAATCGGGCTACTTCTGAGTCTTTCTCCAAAGGCCCTCTCTCTGGGAACAGGGACACCAATCAAAGCCATTTGCTTGGATCCAGTCAAGGAAAGATCACGTAACTTTGGGGAGATTCACTTTCCCTTCCTTCTCCAGACAGACCCTGGTTCTAAGCCGTTTCCAGGAAGACACCAACAACAGAAGGTGGCCCACAGGCTGCGAGGCTCTGAGCTAACTGGAGAGGGCTCTGGAGCGCTCAGCTGGGCAGTGCTTTCCTGTCCTCTCCCGCTGCTCTTCCTCCCACTGATGTGTGTGAGCTAATTAATGGGAGGTCAGAAAGCAATGCAGAAACCAAACAAGCAACAGCAGGCTTTGATCTCTGAGCTTTTGTCTGGATGCAAAGTTTCCCTTCCCCAGTTCCTTTAAATTTGCCTTAGGACAGGAATATGTTGCAAGGAATGTCTTTGTCCTTAGGTAACACCTACCAGCCCATGAGTCCCTTAACAGGAATGATTTTTTTTTAATCACATTCATAGTGATGATCATGATTAGAAGCAAATGTGCAGATCTGGTTTACAGTGTAATGAAAGTGGCATTTGGCATTACAGTCAGCTATAGGGCAGTACAGAAATAAAATCATGATCAGAACAGGAGGAGGAGGAGGGCAAATACCTCCTAACCCTTAATAAGGAAGAGAAAGGAGGGAGGGGATAAGAAGAGGAAGGGAAAAAGCAAAGATGGGAGCCCCTGAGTTTTATGCCTGAGCAGGAATGTTAACCCATGCCTCTCTGGTCCATTCCTTCCAACACCACACCAGCCTGTAGATGTAAAGAAAGGCAGGGTTGCATGGCCACCAACCAAGGAAGCTACACTGACCACGGCTGGACTGGGTGCCCTTTTGCAGCTTTCTACCAATTATAGGCAGCCTGGCTTTTTCTCTCCCTCTCCCTTTCACCGTTAGCCCACTGCTGCTCTCAGCTTCCAGCCTTTGACCTCACTATTTAGCTTCTCCAGCCCTTTTCCTCACTGGTTCCGTCCCCTCCTTGATGCTAACTTGCTCCTGCTTGTCTTTGCCATGCCATTTTTCCTCCCTGCCCCCTCGCCCTTCAATAGTTCTCTCATCTCCCTGCTCTTTGGACTAGCCACCCCTCATAGCAGCCATGATGGGGCTAGGGAGCCATTTTGTAGCACTGCCCCATAGCAGTTCCTCAGATTCCCAGGTGGGCCCAACCCAAGTCCCTGTTGTACCTAAAGTTAGCCCTAAAGCTTACACTGTTTTAGTTCCAGGCTCCTGTGGGCTAAATTCCAGTCTAAGGACCTTGGGTTCATGTAGGGGAGGGCATGAACTTAAACATCACCCCCCCCAAAAAAAAGAGAGTTTATGCACCCTCCCAAAAAGGAGGGAAAGAGGACACAGATGGGTATGAGTTCAAAGTACTTTATATTAAAGATCAAATTTAGACATACTGGTTATAATTAAAGATGATCAAAATACATCTCACCATAGTGAGGAAATTCTAATCAGGAAACTTGCCTGCCCACTTAGTCTGTTATCTAGGTGCCAACTATTTCTGGGCAGCTTTGGGATCCCTCCCTGTCCTACTTCCAATTATTGGGTTTCAAAACAAATTGTGACTATAAATAGAGGATGCCTTCAGACAGAGAATTGTCCCCTGGAACATAGAACACATTCCCACCCCAGTATCCGGTTCAGCCCCCGCAATACCTGACACAGATAAGATTGGAAGATTGCTCATCATAAGGCCTAAATCCCGCAAGAAGCATCGGTGTAGAACGGATGGTCAGTTGACCACAGTTCTCCACACCCTGGTCACACAAAGCACCTTCGCTATCTCAGGCCATTCAATGGCGTTCACCAACTAGAAGGGGTTGAGTACGAAGCCCACACTTTATTTCTGGAAAAAACCACATTCATGATGGCTCTTGCTTGTGACTGTGAGTGTTACCTTTTGCACTTTCAACAGTTTGTTAGCATACGTCAGTGCCTCAAAAAGGCATGTACTGCAACGCTTCAGGTGATGTGCAAATATATCTACATATTCTCTGCTGTTCAGTTAAAAGGCTGATGACCAATCAACTAAACCTTCTCCAGCTGGTTGGCAAGCAACCACAGATGGAGGAAAAGGCAACTGGCTTTGAAATCGCTTGCTAGTTCAAAGCTACACAAAGGAGTTTCAGTCTTCTGCAGTTCAGGCCCTCTGCTGGTATGTACCATACCACAAGGGTAATTTCTCCCTCTTGAATATTCTGGTGCCTTGCAACAGCAGACAGAACATGCATTTCCCACTCCCCTTTGTAGCATGCTTGCTACGGCAAGTAATGGCTTTGCAACACTCTTGGGGAAAACATGCTTTTTTTAATTGACTAAAATGGAAAGTATTTGCAATATGTCACCACTAACAATCACTCTTGTTATCTTACCAGTCCTGATAAGTATTCTGCCTTTTCCTTAAAGGCAAACCAGCGCAGCAAGAGCTGGAAACAACTGGATTTATCAGCCCCCCCCCCAATGCAACTGAATTCCAGATGTTGGCATTCCAGTGCTTCTCAGGTGAAATGGACAGCAGGAATGCTGAATTTTTAAACAGACTTGTCAGGGGTCAGTTTTAACTTATCTCTGGAGTTCCACCGCCAGATGCCCCTTGCCCAAGCTTTCAATTTTTCTATTTCCTTTGGGGGTGACCTAGAGTCATTTGACAATGGAAGAGGAGAAGGTTTTGGAAAGGGGATAGAAAACAGATGCTGAGGAGTGGGAGAGGAAGCAAGAAGAATATGTATATAAACAGACGAAGGAATGAGGAATGCAGGCAGGAAAATGAGGAGGAAAAACAACACTGAAGCTGACAGCAATAAAACCTGTATCGTATTGCAGAAAACTTTACTGAGAAATGAAACAAAGCAGCATACAATTTTGGGAGGAGTGTCAAAGGTCATGCTTTGGGAAAATGCAAAGCATTACCCCACAGCATCCTTTGTTGCGACTAGCTTTTGTGCAGGCAAATGTGTCCAGCTTACAGCTTGAGAAAAGTACCAGTTTAGAATAAAACTCTAGAAATGTTGATTGAAAATGGGGAGTACAAATTTATATATTCAATGTAATCCATGACCACCTCTGATTGTTATGAATAGGGTGCATTCTCCACCTCCTTGTGATGGACAGGTATTCCAAAATACACCACTTGAGGGTCACAATTTGCTGCATCTGAAAATGCTGGGAAAATAGAGCAGCAAATATTTAACAGAAGGTGTTGTGTTCCAGGCTTCTGTAGCCATCATTTCCAAGGCATCTGTCCATCCAGGCACACCAGCATGCTGGGAGCCTGTGAGAAAGTCATTCATTAGGTAAGTAAAGACTCCTGCGAAACTTTGGGTGTGCCTTTTTCCAGTGAACACTTTGGGGAAGGTAAATTTGCAATGTCTTTACTTCCAAAGTGATGGGTGTGATACATTCCCATTTATTGCCGAGCCATTCCAAAATTACCTATCCTCAGATAAGTTTGCCTATCACATCCCTTTCAATCTTTCTGAAGCACAAAGAGCCAAATGCCCTCCAGTTTTAACCCTGAAAAATAATTTGTGCTGTTATTGCATTCCATGTTAAGTTAAAGTCACCAGATGATCCTGAACCTGCCTGATTTTGTATGCATCCGTATCTACCTGTGCAAGTGTGTGTGATTGTGTGCGTGTGTTTAGCCAGCTCTGCATCCCGTACCCGTTTGAGGAGCACCGGAAAGCATTGTCTTACCTGGATCATGGAAAGGGACCAGGGCAAAGTTGTAAAGTGGCCTCTTGGGTCTCTTCAAAGAGGTCTCCAAAATTTTGGAGGCTCCCTCGATCACCTGCACCAGGTCATCGTACATTGAGCCCGTCACATCAAACACGAACGCCAAGGTGGACGCGCCTTCCGGAATTTCTTCGGCGGTGCCTTCCATCTCCAGTTCGACAGCAGCATCTTGCGCAGAGCAAGGAGAAAACAGGAGAGCCCAAAATACTGATGCAGACAATCCCGCAGCCCACAGGCAGACGAGACTGTGGGAACGCATGTTCTTCCTTTCCTTGCTCCCTAAACTATGTGTTCGGCTCAGTCCCCCACGCGGAGCATCGCAAAGGATCCCGTCCGGTGCTCTAAAAAGAGGGGGGAAACATTGGCTCTTGCTTTGTTTCAAGCCAGCACCAGAAGTCCCGTTCCTTCTCTTGACCTTGTCCCCCTCCCCAAAGTATCCCGCCTCCAGGGAGGTAGAGAGGCAAGGGAATGTGGCAGCTTTCGCTTGCAAGTGGCTGGCTCTTTCCCCCCACCCCAGCCTACTTGTCTGCGAGAGCTTGGCAGCCTCTCACCGAGGGAAGGGAGAGGGAATCCCATTCATGTCCCCCGCGCAGCTGCTGCTGCTCCTGCCGCCGCCTCTGGATTTCTTGGCAGGCGCGGAGCTCTCAAAAGTTCGGCTGCCGCGGGGAGCTTCGCGGCTGCGGAGGCAGCGCGGAGTGGGCGCCCCGCTCCGCTCCCCCTGATCCCATCGGTCCACCCGTCTTCCCCGCCATAGCCTCCGAGGCCCCCTTTTAGGGCGACTTGTTAAAAATGGTATTCGGGGTCACGGCAGTGCCACAAAATCACTCAAGGCAAATCTCTTTCAGATGCAGTCATAAAAACACAGGCACGGTTGTGATTCGGCTGTGCAAGGGAGAAAGATTGTGGGAAGGGGGGGTCGCTTTCTGCTTCCTTTTATCAAGCATGTTTAAAAGGCACTGGGGGGGGCGAAGGGGGGATCCAGAACCCCTTAGATCCACACCATTGGGAAGTGCCCTTATTTGGACCCCAGTATTGCCTTTGGGTAGATTTTCGTTTTGCACACACCCCTGATTTTTTTTTTTTTGGGGGGGGGAGTTAAATGAAAGGACAAGCACTGTTCTTTTAGTGGAAGGAAGTAAATTGAGCTCTCGGAGGCAGAGATGATTTGGTGGGGAAGTCGCCCTCCAAAAGGCATCTGGAGAATTCTTCTGCTTCCTATATCGTGCTATTTAATAGAGGAATAATTTCAGCGGGGAGCAGGCATCCCGCAAGTGCCCACCGTCAGCTTGGCTCAGACTGGCAAGAAAAAAATGGGGTGGAGATTTTTCGTGTGTTTCTTGCAAATGCACACAAAGAGGTTTTTTTTTTTAAATCCCAGTTCAGACATGCTTTTAATATGCAAGCAGAATCCTAAAATCAAGGTGAGCTGGGGTGACAGATTCATTTCCTATCAGAGTCCTGTCTTTATGCTCTGCAACCAGAGTCAAGCTTTTCCCCGTGCTGAGGCTACTAAGGCTGCCAAGCCAGCCAAAACCCGTTAGACCAGCACTCCCTGGTCGGCATGGGACCACACGGCTTGTGGCCCACATGCAATGCCATTCCACCATTTCTGTGGCCCCCAACATTTCTTGCACAGCACGTGCAAATACCACCCTGACTTATTACATTATATTTACACCCCACCTTGCTTCCTCTTGCAAGGTAGCCAAGGCTGCTGCCAAGGTTGTCCTCCTCTTCACTGTAGCCTCACAAACAACAACCCTGTGAGGTAGGTTAGGCTGAGAATCCATGACTGGCCCAACGCTATGCAATGGACCTCACGGCTGAGTGGGACTAGTTTCATTAAGAAAATGGAGGCGCACAGTGAGCTCTTGCCCAGGTCTCAGGCTCTCTTTCCCAGGGACGCCGCTCCGGATCCATCGTTAATTGCAGACACCAGGGAGTCTGACCCTGGGAATGTCAGCCTGCAAAGTAGTACCCTGACTCCAGCTTGGGGCATTGCATGCACAACACTCCTAAAAAGAGGAAATGCAGTGCCAGAAAAGAGGGCACTGATTGGAATCACATGTATTGGTAAAAATGCAAAATTAGAAATAATTGCTACAACTTAAATAGAAATCCAGCACATCACATCTTAGAAACAGAGAAACAGAGCGAGTCAGAAGGGGTCTCCCGGGCCATCTAGTCTGACCTCCGGCACCAGCCGGCTCCGCTCACGACATGCCCACCATGTGGACGTCCAGCCTATCCTTGAACACCCACACCAATGGGGCCTCAACGACCTCCCATGGAAGCCCATTCCACACCCTCGGGGTCCTGACTGTCAGGAAGTGCTTCCTGGCATCTAAAGGGAGCCTTGGCTCCCTGAGCTGATCTTAGACTATGACCAATCACCCAGTCTGCTGATGAGATGCTAACTTTGATTTCAAGACTCTTTCCTGCTCTTGGACAGGGCAGCCCTTCAAATGAAGAACTGCCCTTTTAAAGTTGGACACACAACCATCGGTAGATCCCTTTTGGTGTGGTGGTAAGAATACTGCTAGGGACCTAGGAGATTCATGTTCTACTCCGCACTCTTTCATGAAACTTACTGGGTGACATTGGGCAAATCACTGAATCTCAGCTGAATCCACCTCACAGGGTTGTTGTTATGAAGATAAAATGGCACCATGTAAGTCACCTTGGATTTCTCGCAAGAGAAGAAAAGGCTGGGCTATAAATCGAATGCAATAATAATAAAGGGGAAGAATTGACTCAATCGAGGATGCCCATGAGACAGGCTTCTGTATACAGCACAAACCTCATACAATCATACACCTGCACCCACTCCACCAGCAAATGAAGAGGTCCACCACCTGTGTGAGCATCTGAACTGGCCCAGAAAACCCACGTATCTGGTATTATGGAGAAGGATGTCCAAATGTCCAAAGGATGTCCAATGGATGTCTACCATTTTAGAAGCCCAAACAGTTGTCAACATAACATTTTTCATTTTGGGCTCCCCTTCCATCAATTCACAACAATGCTGGTTGTTCTGTCCCATCCAGTCATCTTTGACATATGGTGACCCTGTGAATGAAAGCCCTCCAAAATATACGATCCTTGACAGCCCTGCTGAGTTTTTGCATGTTCCTGGCTGTGGCTTCCTTTATGGAATCCACCCGTCTCATATTTGGTCTTCCTTTTGCTAGCATGACCGTCTACTCCAGGGAGTTTTGCCTTCTCATGATGTGTCCAAAGTAAGACAGCCTCAGTTGTGTCATTTTTGTTTCTGTCTTGATTTGATCTAGGAAAATCCTTGTTCTTCTTTCTGTCAACCCAGGAGCTCTCTTCCCACACCATATTTGGAAAGTATCGATTTTCTTCCTTTCTGCAAATAAAGTATTATATGTCTAAAAATAAAAGCAGCAAATATTGTTCCTAAAGCAGTAGAGCAGAGCAAATCCTTCCAAGTGTCCACAACCCATGGAGAGAACCAAGGTCTCATCTACCATGGAATTCCTGTCACAAAGCATGTCACTGATAAAACCGGAAAAACTATATCTGAAATCTTGCTGTCATCGATTCTGATGGCCAACCTTCTTCTCCTAGACTGTTGCTATCAATACTTTTCTTTCACATAACCATCTATGAAAGGAAAGGATGGGAGACCCAACAAAAAAGGCACAGAGGAAGCTGTCCCCATCCTCGTGTAGGAACTCTGCTGCAGTTCTGACTCTCTTCTAAAGATCATCTTTCTCTCCACTGCTCTAGGTTGCATCAGAAAAGAAGTAGACTCCAAGCTCAAATGCTTTGACATCTTTCATCCTAACACAAAGAGAAGTTATCACAACCCAAAGATCCTGCTCCCAATACTTGAGTATACTGACAGGCAAGTATTTCTGGTCTCCTTGTCTCCCCACCTATGGACATTTAGAGGTTCAGTGCACAAACTCCAAAGTAGTAACTTACCACAGATGTTCTCTGATGAGCCAACTCACCTCCCTCAGCTGCCAAGTGGTGAAGAGCGTTTTCCCATGCTTCAGGCTCAGAAGTGCGGTAAATGAAGCATCGCATAGTTGTGATTGTCAATGGAACATCTTACTGTTCACATGACCAAGAGCTGACAGGCTACATGAGACATCCAATGTGTGTGTGCCCAGTCTGTTCTGGCTGAATGTAGACTTGAACGCCAGCCAAGGACTGCTTGGGGTGGCAGAGCTGCTAAAATCGATCACGCACCTTAGTTTGTTCAGGGCATCTGGAACCTGATAAGAAGCTCTCTGGAGGGCCACCAAGGTTCAAGCCTGAACATATCGCAGAAAGCACATTTATTTGAACTGGCTTTCCATGCTCTTCTGTTGCAGTGGAAACATACCATTCTGGCTATAATACATACTATGGATCTCTATTTCATTGTGAGCACTTCCTTATATTTTGAAATTAATGTTGCTACCTATCCTAGATCCTTGAAAGAATGCAATCCAGGATCCTTGGAAGGGTTGACAGGAATCCAGCTACTTTAAAAACAGAAGTAAAGATATGCCTACTTTGTATTAAGTACTTGGATTGGGGCCTGAACAGACGGCAGCTCTTTCCCATCCGGATCCAAGGAAATACTAGGTTGTGCTCTAACGGCTGTGTAACACATGCAAAATAATCCTCTAAAAACCCACAGCTGAGAGCTTCTGACTCCCTCCGAAATAAGTTCTAATAAGGCTACAGAAGATCTGAAGGAGGAACAGTTCACAAGGAGCAGTAGTTAGACCTTGCTTGAGCATGAAGCTCACAGGATGTCTCTGGGCCAGTCATGGACTCTCAGCCCAACTCACCTCACAGGATTGCTGTTAAAATGGAGAAGAGGAAGATTATATAAGCTGACTTAGACAGGAATCACAGAATCCTAGAAGGATTCAGAGCCTCCAGGAAAGCCATCAGATCCAACCCCCTGCTGCATGCAGGACTGCATGTTAAAGCTTGCCTAACAGATGGCTGTCCAGCTGCATCTTGAATGCGCCCAGTGTGGGAGAGCCCATGACCTCCTGAGGTCATGGGTTCCATTCTTCTATTGCTCTTACAGTCCGGAAGTTTTTCCTGATGTCCTGCTGGAATCTGCTTCCTGCAACTTGAGCCCATTATTCCATTTCCTACCCTCCAAAATGATTGAGAAGAGATATAAGCCCTCTCCTCTGTGTCCACCTTTCAAGGACTTGATGACTGCTATCATATCTCACTTCAGTCTTCTGTCCCCAAGACTAAATGTGCCCAGTTCTTTCTGTCTGTCCTCATGGGGTTTTCTTTCCAGTCCCCAGATCATCCTTGTTGCCCTCCTCTGCACTTTGCCTGCCTCCTTGTTGAACTGTGATGCTGTGACACCCAGAACTGGACACAATTCTCAAGTTGGAGCCCAACTAGTATTGAGTGAAGGGAAAGCATTTATTT